AATTTCATTGTGTAAGGGGGTATTGATTTTTGTAAATAAAATTCAGTGTAAGAAGGATTCTTACATCTATAGGAAATGTAAAATGAAGAGGAAACGTGCGTTGGGCGTACGCGCATTTATAAAGGGATTGTGTACGCACAATTCTTGTTCTAGCTAATACTACATCAATATACAATTTAGTCAATTATGGAATTAACTTGAATGAAAGGAAAAACTGCAGATAATTTTATGAACATTATATATATATATATATAAATATATAAATACATGTATATTTATATATTTATATAAAACATGATATATACATATATGTATGCCGTTTTTTAACACCGATTATGTTTTAAGCATATCACGATTACGAGATACGGGAATATTATAAAACATTCCTAAACACAAGTACTGTTGCTACATTATGAAATAGAACATAACTTGCATTCACGCTAAGCGATTTTTATTTCTTTTTGTCTGTAGCCATATCTACATTATATCTTCTCTGCTCATATTAATCGCCACTTTTTGGCTTTTCCTGTTACGACTCGTTCATATTTGTCGAGCTTTTCACATCGATCGATATATATGTATATATACATATAATAAATTATATATATATATATATTAATGATATATATTTATATTTATGTAATTAAAGAGTTTGCAATGAGAATGTGACCATTGATCCTTAGATTATCTCAAATTTTATTAGACTAATTCGCGAATTATTCGATTTAATCATAAATAAAACATAAAAGTACTTCTAATTTAAAATAAAAAGACTTCAAATTTCTCTATAAGAAAATTTTATTGTTACAAATAGGTGATATTATTATTAAAACTAGATTTCGAAGTTTCTTTCAAATATAGAAATCAATTATTATCAATTATTATCAAGAATTAAATCAAAGAATTAATATAAAAGTGTAGAATTCATAATTTGCTTTTAGTGCAAACACTTAAATTCATTTATAAGATATTGATATTATAATAATATCTTATATCATTAAATTAATTTGAAGTTCTTCTTGAACTTTACTCGTCCCGAGTAACTTTTATCGTTGCCATTTAAAGATTTCTCGTCTTTACATTAATTTGCAGCATAGCTAATGAAATGTATATAGAGAGACATCGCAAACAATCACAAGCATAGTCGAACTTGATGCTTGTAAATCAAACATAAAATCGATCGTCATTGGTTACATATGATTTTTTAGAGATAATATATACATATATTCGCATCGAGACATTACACGTAGGCCATTGTTCGGCCGACTTTCGTTTCAACGAAAGAGTGGAAACAAAAGAAGGAAAAATTCTTGCACACACATACATACAGTGGCGTGCAGAAGCTTCCGGCCAGATAGATCTTTCACTTTATATCTCAAAAGCGGTATTTTAAAAAATTTTAAGTAATATTATACAATTATATAACAGTGTTTGTGTATTATTTAAAATATTATTTAACATATATATTACAATATTATTTCAAATTCATCTAGACATCACCTTTCGAATATAATGTTAGAAATTTTCTTTTTCCGGCTGAAATCTTTTGCACACCAATGTATTTACATACACAACCATACATGCATGCACGCACTCATGCACTCACGCGCGCGACCGGTCATCGGATAAGGATTTCGCGCTTTTTAATAGATGCACTCACACACAAGACATTAAGAGAGAAAGAGACTCATATATAGGTACAATTATTAAAGAAAAAAAATAATGCTATTATCACGAGTAAAAGAAAAAAAAAGAGAAGAAAACTACACGTCGAATACACCCTGTCGATGAACGGTTGACTTTGCGAAACTACAATATTTGTTGTGTAAAGTAAATGTAATCGATTGGTTAAATGGAAGCTTTTTCACAAATAAAAAGATGATCAGTTAAACATTTACAAAGTGTCCTTCTTCAAGCGTTTCATGTTTTTTAAAACTATAAACAAAACAGATATAAAGAAAAAAAAAGAAGAAAATACAAGAAGGTCCGAAAAATACACACGAAATATTCTTGAGAAGATTCTTGCTTCTCAAAATCGATCCATACTGTTGTTTAGTATATAATTTTAGAGTAACTTATAGCAATGTACATTCGATCTAATTAATAGTGTTTGTTATGTACTAATTAGCAGAATAATAGGATAAGTACTATTTCCATTGAATAAATCTTTATTTTTCGTAGAGCGTACGTTAGGGCGTACTGCGAACGTTAATAACGAAAATATCGCGGATGTTTCGATTATCCATAAATTCTGTATAAACTGATACGACTGCTTGTTTCGGAGCATAAATGTTTGGATAAGTAGAATTGTAACGATTACACGAAGTTTAAGCTTCTGATTTTTCTATTCTTTTTTTTCATTTTTGTCTCTCCCCATTCGGCAGTGGCATATCTTTTTTCTTCCTAAAAAAATTTCATGTTTATACCTAATAAATTTCATGTATTTATTACTATCTTGTGAAACTATTAGAAATTATTTGCTTATAAACCAGAGATTTTTTATACAAACGATTTAATTATAGTAACATATCGAAAGACACTAGAAATTTTGGGGAGAAAAATGAAATAAGTATTGTACTAACATGAACAATTCGACAAACAACTGGTGCCGTTTATTGTAACATTGTTCATTTTTACAAAAAAAATTTGTTAAACGGGAGGTAAATTTATATAATCTTTTTATACAATTTAAAAAACGGTAGCTTTCTATTAAATTAATTATTGGCTCTGATTCTATTTAAGGTTTTATGTATAAACTAATTATATCTTACGTTTCACAGGGAAGACTAGCTGAAGAAGATTTTTTGATTATTACCATAGATAGCACGAATTCTATTATGAAATAATTAATACGAAATGTATTTGTCCTCCATTCATATTTACATTACAAGTTTTTACATACATATATACACGTATACGTAGGTACACGTACATAACTATATGCTTTTTGTCGGACAGAAAACTTGCATATAATAAAAAGTGTTCGTCATATATTTCATGAAGTGCAAAGTGTATCAAAGAATTTCCGATTACCCTTTAACAATAGCGAGTCTCTTTTAATAAGGTATTTAGATGATTTGTTTACTAATGATTGCCGACGATAACGATAATAATTAACTCTGTAAAAGGACGTTAGGTCCCTCGCTTCGGATAAATAAATTTACAATATTGAATTTATTGTATTATTGTTATATTGCAATAAATATATGTATACAAGACGGTTTACAAAATTGCAAACAAAATGTTATTTATAACTAGCTCGTTTTTTTCATCGGGTATCATATTTTAATAAAATGTTCGTTTATGCGAATCTAAAGTAATATTGTAAGGATTAAATTCAATCTTTCATAAAACTTTAATTCAATATGCTACGTTTCTCGACATTTCCAAAGTTGAAAAATTTCTGCCTGAACTATTGCATGTGCAATAATCTTGACAAATATTGCAGCTAACTTGAACTTCTTTGTGAAATTTAATTTTCAAGATTGTGATAATGATTTGCAAAAGACTAAGTGTCTGTGTATATTGAACTCTAATGTATGTGTACAATTGATTTATAATAATTTATTTTCACATTTCATGTTCAGTTTTGTTTGAAATAATTTCTACATTTATAGTTAAAGAATGTTCATGGATTATCAATGAGACCTTATTAATTCGTTGCTTCTTCACAAGCATGTCATTAAAAAGATGATAAAGTGTTATACAATTTATTATAGATACAAAATTTATTGTAATAATCTTATATAAATGAAATGATATAACTTTCTTTTTACCATATCAACATATAATAAAACCTTGTTTGTAGAAATTTGTGAAAATATACATATATAATATAAAATTGCTTTAAGTTTTCAAACATTGTTAACACAGTTATATATTTCACAATTAAGTATATGAATATCAAAATGTGCATTAACAAATTTTTGTTAGATATTTATTAGTATTATTATCAATATTCTAATAAAGGAGGTAATTATATGTTAGTATTATGAAAGAAAATTTTAATTAAGATCAAATTAAAATAACAACAGACTTCTATGTAAGTCAGGAAACATCCTTTACTGGGTATATAACTTGATACATTTGTTAATTTCTTTTAAAAACATGATACAATCAATTATTATAAATCATTAAAAATTTGATTTAAAAGCTATTTTCTCTTCTATTTATGCTTTAAGCTATTGATATATATCTTTTGGTCTTTGTTTACAAAATATTGTAAATTACATCATTGAACGACGATTATTATTCTATTTTTACATCATATAATGCATTTAATCTTGTTTATTTATATATATATAGTAATATGTAATATATAATAGGAATATTTTCATATTTCTTCGCTTCATAGGACTGAGATATTTATTAACAAAAGTAGAAAGATAATATTATACTAGACAAAATCTAAAAGAACATTTCAATTGAATAAGTAGAGATATCTAAATTAAGCATTTTTTTCTACTTTTTACATATATTTTTATCATAATAAATTATGTCTCTAGTTTTCTAATATTTCAATTTCTCGAGAAAAGGATAGTATCAAGTGATTCTTACAAAGCTAAATGTCCTTTAGTATTTTAAATAAGGACTTTTTATAAAATAATAATTGTCAAACAAATGTTTTCATTTCTTTGTGAAATTACGATACTTTAAATGTCTATTTATAATATATTACATTATACCTGCTATTTCGAACCATTCATAAAATTGAATCTACTCTTCAATTCAAATTTTCTAACTTTATGAATAAATTTCATACAGGCGCTAAATTTTATATCTAAAATTATCATACATTTCAGTTTTTATTATCTTATCCATTGTGTTACTATCAAAAGAAAGAAAAACAAAAGAAACCAAAACACATTTTGTAAGATTTGATCTTACATAGAATTTATGAAAATAATATCTTATTTAGTGAAATCATCACAAAATAGATTAAAAATGTAGTACTATTTTTTATATCACATTCGAAGAAATAGTAGGAATATTTTTACAGAATTTGGTTTTTCAGCCTCCTTTCTTTACAAGACATGTGCAACTATATTTTTCATTTACCAATGATCACGACAATAAATAGAAAATATAAGAAAAGATGCACATCGTAAGAGTAAGAAAGATTTACACAATTCAGCTGAGAGACACATGAATTTTAATAATTTACGCTTTTCTTCTTCATGTGGATAAATATAAACGATGATAATCATTAGCTCCAAAAGCGCAATTACATTTTGGACATTTTCGTTGCCTAGTCTCATATCGTGTACGTAAGCAATCCCAACAAAATACGTGAAAACATTTTGTTAGAACCGCATCTTTACGTTTAACTTTACAAGAAGGACAAGTAAGCGTTTCCTTATATTCTCGAAGCTCCTCAGCCATTACTTCATCCAATGTTTCAGCAAGTTCTATTTTCTTCATTCTTTCAACTTTACGTCTCAATTGAGCTATTTCTTCCTATAATGAGATATAGCAGTGTTAGCAATAACTTGAATAAAATAATTTTCATCCTGTAATATTTCCTATGAAATATATAAAATATATTATTTGATGCGTTAATATTACCTGTAATCTTTTTGTTTTATATGCTTCTGCCTCCAAAGAACTAGTTTTTTCAGCTACAACTTGTTGCGCTTCTTTCATTTGAGAATGATATTTTTCTACATAAAATTCAAAGTATATGAAAGATATTTTTATAAAACAATTACAAGTATCATTAAATAAATTTCTTACCAAGATGAAGTTTTAAATCAGCTGCAGACTGGGCACTTTCAATAGCTTTTCTTTTATGCATTTCCATTGCCTGTTGCCTCAAAGCCAATTCTTTTTCAACAGTAGCAAGGGAATTTTGTAAAAGGCGCTCCTTCTCTTCTAATTTACGAACGACGACATTAGCAGCTTCAACTTGAGTTGTTAATGTAGAAACTTGTTCTTTTAGAACATCTTTCTCCTCTCTAGCTAATTTATGTAATTGATTACTTTTAATTCTTTCTGTCATAAGTTTAAAATTTGCATCATCTTTTTCACGTAACTGTTGAATTAGCCTAGAATTCTGTTCTTGCATGTCTTCAAAAGCTTGCCCAGTTACCTCCATTTCGTTCAAAAGAGCCTCCTCCTCCTGAAACCACACACAATTCTGTTTAGCATTACCGATAGTTCAACAGTTTTAAATAAAATTCGTATTTTATAGAATTTATCAAATATATAAAGTTACCTGCTTTTGAGAAGCAACTTGACGCTGAAGAGTGTATGCTTGTTCTTCTAATTTCTTAATTTTTATCTGTGCATCTTCATCTGCCAACTTTTTACGCTCTTCTCTCTTACTTTCCTGAAAAAATTAACTTATTCATAAAATCCTAAAAAAGACAAAAGATTCACAATTAAAAGTCTACTTGCACAAATACCTGAATTTTCTTTATCTGTTGGCGTAATTCATCTAATTCTGCTCTCGTTTTCCGTTCAGCTGCCATTAATTGCACTTTATCTCTTTGTTCTTTTCCAACACCTTTGTACATATCTAATAATAATTTCATTTCTTTCATTTCATTCACAGCCTTTCTGTAATTAGAATGATCAAATGTAAATTATGATAGTGATTAATTTAAAATAGTATATAACATATGACATACTTTAGTTGCGCTTTCAGATCTCTAACAAGTTCTGATTCCGCTACTTTCGTGTCTTTGGCACGATGAGCAGGATCGCGATGTTCGGTTTTGACAGCTTCCTTCTTTATATCTTTTTCACGTTTAATATCTTTTTCTTTCTTTAGAGTTGGAGACGTTAATGTCAAAGAATCTGGGGTACCTTTGTTTCCTTCTCCTTCTCCAACTTCGATAGTTTCTACTTCTTCTTCTCCAGATTCTCTTTTTATTGAAACTCCACTCTCTTCCTTTATCTATATTAACATAAAAGCTATCTAACTCCCAGAAACTTATTTTTATAACACACTTTGGAAATATAAGTTCCTTTAAAGGATTTATTTTACCTGTGCAGAACCTGGAAGAGAATTCGATGCATCTTCTTCTTTTCCACTGCCATCTGAATTATTCCCTTCTTTGTTCTCCTGGGATGTTTGTTGGCCCAACTTTGTTGTTAATTCCTCAATTTCTTTCTTCAGCTACAACAAAGCACGGATATCAACTGTAAATACTTTCATTCTTTTGTTAATACACTCTCCTTAAATAATTTGAAATCAATGATATACATACTTTCGGTATTTCTGATGAAGCTTCTTTGTACTTCCGTTTATAACGATGAACCTCGCCTTTAAGCTGTTGATTGTGATTTTGCAAAGACGTGATCAAATGTCTCATTTCTCGATTTATCGGTCCTGTTTGTTCGTTTGCAGCTAAATTTTGTTCAAATTCAATTCTTAACATTTCATATTCCTTTCGTAATTGAGCCAAAACATCTTCCAATTGTATGCATTCTCCACGTAGCTTTTTTTGTGCCATCAACTCTTCGCTCTGAAAATATTAACAAATAAATATTATTCTTATATAATTTTATAATGGAAGAAGAAAAATAAATAAAATAAAATGCACTTGCCTCCATCATTTCAATATGCCGTAAGTGAGCGTTTTTACTGGATTGCAGTTGCTGACGAGCATCATCTAATTGTGTTTTCAATTGCATAGATTCATTGTACAATACAGAAAATTGCGATTGTAAACATTTGTATTCAGTCGTCTCAACAATTACCGATTCTGGAAGTTGTCGTATCTGCAAATATAAGATATTTTCGAAGTGAAAACAACATTTGATCATAATATTAAATAGGCTTCCACCCAATTTTTCTTATGTGTATTTTATTCAAATGTAAAGAAGTAAAACACAAGAAATCAGCGAAAGCAAGTACTACATGGGTATTTATTGCACAAGACATTAATTTACATTCTATACTGGACACCATAAACGTGTGTACAAAAACCAAAGAACTCACATCCATTTTTAATTTTTCTACTTCTTTCAATGCATCTCGATGCTGTTGATGTAGTTTATCCAGTTCTTGTAACCTGTTATTAGCTAACTCTCTGGTTTCTTCCAATTCCCTTTGTAAATCTTCGAGCTATATGATATGAAACAGGATTAAATATATACATTGATTTTAAATAGAAAGTAATAGACAATAGAATATTATACCTTTGTCTGTGACACACTTGAAGCAACTAAAGTATTGGGTTTATTACTTCCTTTTTCATCTGTACCGTGTATTTGTTGAAACGCTTTTAGTTTCTCAATTGCTTCTCCAAGGTGATGTTCTAATTTATCATTACGCGCTCTCACTTTATTCAGTTCGTACTGAAGATCATCCACCTGGTTACGAAGTTCTGCGGCAAGTGTATCTTTCCCTGTTATGGTATCTTGCAGTTCTGACATCTATGAGAAGATATACTTATTAATACACAATAAAATGTAATTTATCCATATAAATAAACTTAATTTACCTTCAATGAAATAGTGTGGTATTTTTCATGAAGTTGTATATTTATTGCTTGAAGGTTCCTATTTTCCATTTGTATCTCAGAATTTGCTCTACGCACAACTTCATCAATATTAGGTGCTTCTTCTGAAATATAGTAACATTATCATTTTTTATTTGATATATTACTTTCTTTTTTATACATTAGAATTAAATACCTCCATCAAATTCCCCTTTAAGTGCAAGAGTAATCTTTTCATTTCTTTGAGAAAGACGGTCAAATGCTTGTACTACTTTTGAAACTGCACGTTTGGACACTTGAACACGATTTGCTAATTTATCATCTAACTCTTCTTTGTCCCATGAAGAAAGCTGCATAAGAAATGATGTTGTAGCTTCACTTTCATCTATAAATTATTAAAAGTCATTAAAACATTTGTCTAAACATTTAATAGATCAGTTCATTATAGCTGTTTACTTTTATTTTCAGATTCATCAGCTGTTTCAGCATCAAATCTCTGAAGTAATACACGTATATCTTCATTCAATTGATTCCAATAACGATTGACAACATTAAGCACCGCATCATCTTGCATTTGTCGTTTTTCCAACTGTTCAATTCGTTGCCTTAATTCAGCCTCTACTCTATGACGCTGCTCTAATCTCTACAAAATCAGAATAACATAATATACAATACAATTTCATATCTTATAGTGAAAGGACTATATGAAAAAAGTAACTAACTGGAAAAAATCAATTTCAAATAACAAACAACAATAGAATATTGAAATATCATAACACTTCTAAATATAATATAATGTCTATGTTCATTGATTCAGTATAAGATACAATACAAACTAACAATATAGCAAAGCTAGATCATATGCTTACATAATAAATTAACATTTTACATTGAAGAAAATTTTTTCGTAATAATATCTACATTTACAACAATCATAAAATACCATATAATATTAATTATGGAAAAACAATATTTTATTAATTATAAATAAATTAATAGGTCAAAAGATTATATTTTATAGGTAATATTTTTTTCGATTATTGACGTTTTATAAATACCTTTGTCAAAGTATGATTTGAATACTAACCTGGGCCAATTTCTTATTTTGAAACTGTAAAACTTTCATGTCCATTTCTTCGAGGGTTGAAATAGGCCCGATTAAAATCGGTTCAAATTGAACTTTTTTAATAGGTGGTTGGGAACCCGAATCCCCACTATCTGCAGGTCTCTTTGACATTTTGCCGCGAGCGTTTTTCTCTTTCTGAAAAATGTGAAAGCAGTTTTTTAAACGAACAAGGCAAACACTTTGTATTTGATTTCTCATTCAAAGTTTCTAATAATTTTATTATTGATCAAAAGTAATCCGTACCTCGGTAACGCGTATTAATACATCCAACGATCCTCTCCGCAAATACCTTACAGTTTTGATATCGCTATGTCATTTTAGACACCTAAAACCTGCCGAAAAGATTATTCTTTCGACAGTTTTTTACATTTTAAAGAAAACGGTCGACAAAAAGTACGTGCTTATAACGGAAGCCGCCATTGTGTCACGGCGTTGCATACGCGGCAAATCAAAAAATAAGGCAAAAACATCGACATTCTCTGTGACTATAGAGTTCAGTTAGATGAGAAACGCAGTTACCAGGTTGCATTTCCACCCTTGAATTCTATGGCTGGATTCATAAACGAAAACTGTGAGTCTATTTGATATAAGATGAAGTAACTAAGAAGGCAAATAACATCACTTTTTGCCATTAATGATACATATAATACAGATTCATACATATATGTATGTACATATTTACATATGCGAATTGATACTTTTATGGAAACAACTAATGAATTGGAATAAAGAGTTGTATTACCTTCGAAATATTCGAATAACTACTTTACTTTGAATATTTTGTACATGTATGTGTATATATATATATACAATACATACATATGTACAATATACAATAATTATATACAATACATATATACAATTAATAATTATATGCATGTACATAAATTTAAATATTCCCAGCATATAATTTATATGAGTTATATTTAAATTATCTTTTAGTAAATAATTATCTTCAGTGGATAATAAATTATTACTAATAAAAATGAAAATCATGATTAGAATAAATAGAAACACTGTATATACATTTCTTTAATTAATTGGAATTTTACAGATTTCTCCGTTTCACCGTTAGATATCCATAGCTTTCAATTCTTAACGATCCCTACCATATCAACTGTGAGACAGAGTAAATTTATTGTGATACCTTAAGAGTCAATATATGTGAGCGCTAGGTTTATATTTAAATCATTTGCTCTTTTTTTAATTTCTTTATAAATAATCTATTTAATGATTAATATAGAGTATATGATTTATTTCGCTACAGGCAATGTCTTATGCTTAGTATATTATTTCCTCATTGCAAATGAATTAAAATAAACCATTTCATAATAGGTTAAATGTTTCCATGGAAACCATCCTTGCGCTGATTCATCCATATATAGATCAAACCTGTGAACCCGCCTCTTTAAAAGAGCGTTGATCCTTCAGAAGCACAACAGTATTTTCAAAATTGGAAAATACAATGTCGAACAAACAACCGCCTGAAATAGCTCCACCGCCTCCATTGAAATTTAGTTTGCATCAATGGCATCTAAATAATCGCCACAGGTACGAGTATTTAATTTCAATTCTATAAACAAGAAGTTATATGCTTTATATTTATATAATACTCCAAAATACTAACTATTTGAAATTAAAAAACATTATATAATTAATAAATTATTAATAAAAGAATTATATAATTATATTATTATAATTATAGAATTATAGAATTTTAGAATTATAGAATTTAAATTATAGAATTAAGAATATTTACATAAATATAGAAATTATCTATAAAATTACGATTAGGTATCGATGTTCTGAAGCACAGCAGGAACTAGCAGATCGGCTACTTAACGAATCTCAGCGTGTTTGCGAATTAAGCTCCGAGAAAGTACGAAACAATAAAGAAGAAACAGATCACAGGCTGAAAGAAAAAATCGAGGACATCGAGTTTCGTAAAAGAGAACTGCTGCGTATAAGGAAGGAAGTTCTCCTTGAAATCGATGCTTTGTCAATATACAAGGAGCGTATCATGGATGCTCTGTCATCCGTGAGGAAAAACGCTTTTGTCATTTGCGAAAAATGCCTCATTTTTAGGTTCGATATACAAAACTAAAAAGAAAACTGTAACCATTTCATATAGGTTTAACTTTTTATAAAAATAGGATATCTGTTAAATTGTACTATTATTTCAATTATAGAGAGCATAGATTAGGAATTGATTTAGTTCACGACGATATAGAAAAAGAATTATTAAAAGAATGTGAAGTGATCAAAGGCGTCGAAAGTTTATTAGTTCGGACTCTGGAACAAACGCAGGAACAAATACGTCGTCTTAAAGCGACGCTTTATTACATGGATCACGAGCTCGAGGATAAAGAAAATAATTTGCGCATTGATAAGCACAACTTGACTTTGAAGGAGACCAATTTAAATTTAAGTATTTATCATGGTACATCGCGACTTGATCCATCGCAAGTATCACTTTAGCTCTCTTATTTTTCCTTATTTCAGTGTTTTCTTAAGTTTACCTAACTTTTAACATTTATTTTTATATATTAAGAACGATAGAGTTGAACGAATGGGAAATGCAGACTAATAACAATATCGTTAGCGCTTCGAAAGAGGTAAATAGCGCTAGACCATTGCGCTGTTATATCGATACAATTATAAAGCAAGTGATCAATGATCTAAATGATCAGAAAAATGCTACTGATGAGGCTTTTAGGCGGCGCATCGAAGAAACGAAAGAAGCGAAAGTAAAATTAGAATTACAACACGCTGAGGTACATGGAAACAATCATTAATGTTTAATTAGAGATTCTTAAAATTTCTGCCACTATGTAGCGTGTCCTAAGGTTTAAAGCCAAACTTTGTTAGTGTATAGGTATAATCAAGCAACAAATGTTATATAAATATATGCCATTTAAAGTTTATTAAAAAGTTATAATAAAAATAAAAAAAACAGTAACAGACTTGTGGTTACTATATTATAAGACAGAAATAGGTTAAAGAATCAATATATGTAATCATTAGCTATCAATATTCCATTTCAACAAACAAAATTTATAAAAAGTTCGATATAATATCTTAGAAAGCTCATTTCCATTTTGATAAACTATGCTTACACAACACTTTTTACTTGATTATGCTCATAGAATACACTGCATTTTTAGTTTAACCATTGGACCACGAAATATCTTGACATGCATTTGTATATAAGCATCATATAATTTGTTAATTATGCATGAATATTCATTGCATTTTCTAGTTTAAATATGAATCATTGAATAAAAACGTTACATGTATGTATGTACACGAAACAGATCATGCGACAAGCAGCGGAAATGAAGGATAATATTACACGCATTGAGAAATCAATCGCGGAGAAGGAAAGTTTTTTAGCTTTGGCGCATACGAGACTCGGTAATCGTTGTCAAAGGCCAGGATTAGAACTTACACGAGATCTAGTGGAAATTAATCTTGTAAAGGAAGTATATGATTTACGTGAGATTGTGTCGAAACTACAAGCAACTATATTCGAGGTTTATAGTTCATACGTTTTATAGTTTATCATTCTGTTGTTTAATCAGCTTATTATAAATGATAATACAATTATTGTTTCAGTCTCAGGCATCGTTGCGTTATTTACTCAAAACACAAATTCAAATTGAGGAAGATATCAATGTTAAAATAAACACGTTAAAAATCGATGAGGTCGACTGCATGACTCTTCGTCAAAGCATGGATTATCACACATATTAAATTAATTCGAGCATCGACTGAATCCATAAAAATTTTTATGTAATAAAATGCAAAAAAAGAAGTGGCGGTATTTATTATAAATAGACTGCAGGTTTTTATGTATTTATAGAAAATTTAAGAACGAGATAATACACTGAATGCGAATAATATGCAAAAACATATAAAACTGTCAAGTACAAACATAAATCAAATAATTTTCTACATAAATTCCATTTTTTCAAACTTTCTTCATAAAAATATGAATTTGGATAAATATTCGCAGTCTATTTATAAAGTTGAAGCAATCACTTATTTAAAAAACTCGTTATTTCTTAGAAAACTCGAATTCTATTTAATAAGTCTTCGTACATAGAAAGTTCTCTTATGTGTCACAATATATACTACTTTTAGAATTTAATTGTATTTGAGATTGTGTAGTGCTGATTTTCGGTAAATAAGTAAAAATGTATGCATTAGTATGTGTTGATAATTCCCCTGCATACAAGCGCGGTGCGGGTAAGATATGAAGGCTGCATGGAGGGTTAAAAAAAAGACGTACATATGTGAGAATAAAAGATATACATACATCTGTTACTAGAAAACTGTTGATATTCATACAATTTTTACGAATATAACTAAAGAAGTGGAATCTAAATATTTTACACTAGATATTTTATATATTTCTGCATACTATGTTATAAATTTTTACATATATAAATTTCTCATTAATATTCGCAGTTTGTTTATTAGTTTATAAACCGTGTATTTTAATACAGAGCTACTATTGGAAGTTCTTGTATTAGTTTAGAAAAGAATGTTGTTCCTATTGGTTAATACTCGTGACTCGTGCAATACTGACTGGCCGACTATTGCCATTACCGCGGTGGTAGTATTTTATCTGTAAGCAGCGGTATTAGTAAGAATTTTCCTCCTTGTCCACGTTTCTTTATGAAGGTGTCAATTTGAGTGTTCTCGAGTGTAGAAAACTTCTGTCATTAAGCTAATGTAATGGCAGACATATATTGGGAATGTGTTTCGTTCAATTTGTTGATGATATTTTACGTATAGGAGATTTAGTTTAATCGCACGTTAGAAAAGGAAATTATAAGAAATGTCAAGTGACGCAATAATCGTATTACCTGGGGAGGTAATTGTGCACATTTTGGAAGATGAACGACTTAGCTTTTCAGATATCGTTCATTTCAGTTTGAGCTGCAGGAGTTTGTACAAAATTGTCAATGAAAATAATAAACTTTGGAAGACAAAATTTTTTCAAAGGTATATCGCTATTTTTCAAAGTTATTATTGTTCAAATAAAAATTGAGTGAATTACACACGTCCTTTGTGTCCTTTGAACGATTATGACTACTTATTTTGAATAGATCAAATAAATTATTTTTGTACTAGCAAGCCAGAAACGCAAATTATTATTTAAAAGTTCGAGATATAAATTCTTATTTATGTACTATTTATAAGTATAGATTGTAAACACTATAAATACAGAATGTCCCAGTTAGAAATATTTTCTTTGATTGTTACAAGATAAAATCTTTTCTGAACATAATTTAAATAACTTTTCAACTGATCTTATTTAAAACATTCGATATTATTTTTATTATCAATAATATTATTTTTTAATAACAGATGGCCACATTTGAGAGAAATATATCAAACAAATGACGAGTTGGATCATCGAATGATA